AGTCACACACACACACACACAGACACGGTAGGTGAGGAAAGCTTCCGGAAGAATCAGGAAGAACACCCCTGCTTCTCATTTGAGACCCCCATCCTGTCTGCAATTGGTCACCACCTCCAGCCCCTAGTAGCCCACATCCTTTCCTGCCTCCCCAACTTCTTTTTGGAAAAGAAGGAAGTTAATGATTAGGCAATTAGTGTCTGAAAGTCCAGCTTCCCTCTCTCCAATACAAGAAATAGCACTACAAAATTTCACCTGATACCTGTCATGAAGGGTTTAAATGCCACCACAGAAAGGGAGCTCACCACCTCAGAAAGCAAACTGCCCTCCTATCTGGCCTTGCCCCCACACCAGGTCCTCACCTCCCCTGACCCCCAGCTGGGGCCACCCAGAGCTCCTGGGATCAAGCCTTCTTTCCCCTCAGGGCCTATTCTGGAAAGAAAGCGGCCCCATGGGCTTCATCCAGCCTGCAGTGGAGCAAAAACAGGATCTTTCCCCAGGAGTCATCCACAAAGGGGGAATGCTGTGGAATCATACCTGTGGCCCTGCGTGGGTCAGGGAAACTCCCTCTGGGTGACAGCAGAGGGCGCTGCCAGGAAGGCCCTCACCTTCAGGGGCTTTGTTGGGGAGGGAGGGAGCCACATGAAGTGGCCAGGACCAGGCAAGCAGGGGCATAAGCAAACATGTGGGAGGAGTGTCTCTCTTCCAGGTAGGGTGCAGAATTTCCAGCTGAAAGTCAGGGAGCAAGAAAGAACCTCACCACCCAACTGCAGTGGAAACCTCCCTTTCCTGCACCTGTGTTCCTCTCCACACCACCCCCAGGATGGCCTCACCCCATGCTCCTGGCCTTGCAGGAAACAGACTCAAGGGCTTCCATGGTTCCTAGAAAATGGGGCAGAGGAAGAGCTCGCCTTGGCTCCAGCTCTCTGGAAGGCCTGCTATGATGCATGTCTTCAGGGAACTCTCCAGAACAGGGAGCCTTCACCTGGGAGTGGCAGAGCTCACCTTTCACTCTCTCTTCCCTCCCCACCACCTAGCATGACAGAGAACAAGGCCCAGGAAGGAGAAGAGAGCAT